TCCTCCATTACCATATGTCCAACTTCCTCAGCTGATGAATTTCCTGTACCTCTGATTTTTTTTCCCAGAATTCCTCCTCTCCCTGGAAGTCTTACCTATCCTCTCTTGCCTAGCTATTGGCCATTCAGCTCTTTATTAAACCAACCAGAAGGTGCCTTAGGCAATGAGGAAGGACAGCAATACATCTTCACACAATGTACAAAAAGATTATCCCAACACTTCTGAGTTTTCCAGTCTGTGACATAAAGAAAGTGGAAAAGAACTTCAGCTTATTTCTACAACTTAAAAAATTGTGAGAGGAGCTAGAGAGATGGTTCATCTGTTAAGAGCACTGGCTATTATTCTAGAGGACCCGAGTTCAATTCCCAGTACCCACAGAGCAACTCACAACTGCCTGTAACTCCAGTTCCAGGGTCTCTGACACTCTCATACAGATATACATGCATGAAAAGCAATGCACAGAAAGTAAAAATAAATTATTTTTTAAAAACAATTAAAAAGTATGAGAATCTTGGGGCTAGAGAGATGGCTCACTGGTTAAAAGAACTGGCTGCAGCTCAACAGTGATGGCGCACGCCTTTAATGCCAACACTCAGGAGGCAGAGGCAGTCAGGTCTCTGAGTTCTAGGCCAGCCTGGTCTACAGAGCAAGTTCCAGGATAGCCAAAGCTACACAAAGAGCACTGGCTGCTCTTCCAGAGTACCTGGGTTCTACTCCTAGCACCCAGATGGTAGCTCATAACCACAGCTAACTCCAGGTCCAGGCGATCTGATGTTCTTTTTTGGCCTTCCCGGGCACCAGGAATGCATGTGGCGTTCAGATATATATACATAGGGAACACCTGTACATAAAGTCAAATTTTAAAAAGTGAAGATCTTGATCTTGTTCTCAACATATGGGACACATTTCAGATATCCAGATTATGATTTATACCAGTAGCAAGATTACAGTTATGAAGTAGCAATGAAAATAAATTTATGGGTGGGGGTCTCCACAACATGAGGAACTGTATTAAAGGGTAGCAGCATTAGGAAGGTTGAGAACCACTGTGTTAGACAAAGCACAACTCACTATGACTAGACTTTGCTACTGCTAAGTTCCAAGTTAAAAAAAAAAAAACGCTAGCATATGGTTGATAAACTTGATTCTGAAAACCGAAAGCCTGCTGGAAGAGTCTTCCTGTGCGTCTCCTGGAGAGCAGCCAGAGCTGCGCTCTCTGCTTACATGGGCTTCCGTTAAATGTGTTAATGTGTGTTTTACTTCGAGAAAATTGTGAATTTACAAGTAGTTACAAGAAGTTTCATAGAGGCTCCCCTCTCCTTCTCATTCTGCGGCTGCCAGCATCTTGCAGAACAATGATAGGTGTCGCAGGGAGGACACCGACTCAGAAACCAAAAGACAAAACATTCTGTCTCAGCAAGCTGCCAGCCTGTCCGATCTGCAACTTTTAAACGCTGGAAGCATCAACCCATTCTTATTTGTGTGACGTGTTTGTTTATTTGTCATAAGATATCCATACCTCAGCTCCTCTGGGTACAGCGGTTGAAGCCTGCAACCTCAGCACTCTGGAGGATCAAGCAGGAGGGTCTGGAGCTCAAGGCCAGCCTGAGCTACCTAAAGAAACCAACCCTTGTCTCAGACACTTACAGAATGTAACCTTTTAGGGTTGGCTCGTTCCACTCTGGTTTAAGTGGAGAGCTAACATGTTTCTCTTGCTGAGTCCTGGTCCATGGTATGCTGCTGGTTTAATCATCTCCTTATGGAAGAACTCTGGTTACTCCTGGCTCAGCGCTCTCTTGTGAAGCTGCCCTACACGCTCTGCACAGGCGCCTTCACCTCTTCAGTTGCCCGATCCCCCGAGGTAACTCCACCCACTCTGTTCTTCCTAATTATTCCTCCAGTGTGCAGACTCGGGGTGTGTGCGTGGTGGTGGTTGGGGGGGAGTATGTGTGCCAGTAACTGCTCTGGACCAAGGTCTGAGTTGTGAAAATCCAATAAAAGCAAATTACATGTTCCTGCAGAGAGTGTGGGGGTAGCAACACCGGGGCACGCGGGGCACTGAAAAAGCAGCAAATGCCAGGCCGTGCTGCATCATGGCTTCCTGGAGGAACCTAGAGACAGAAGAAGCAGGAGAAGCCCCGAGTGTCTGCGGGAAGGCCCTCTGGAGATTGAGGGCTGTGGAGTAATCTTGGACGGTGGAGACTGACTACTAAAGATATTTTGCATTTATTAAGGGCTTACCACGAGGCAAGCAACACTCTGACCCTTTGCCTGTATCGTTGCTCTTCTTGGAAGCCTTGATCACCATCTCGCTTTACAAGTGAGGGAGAAATGACCCCTTGCCCATCATCACCCAGCTATCATGTGCCTCATCAGATAAACAATAGCAGGTCCCCCCCCTCCCCGTGTGTGTGTGTGTGTGTGTGTGTGTGTGTGTGTGTAAACTGGAGGTCAATGTCGGGATGTCGTTCCTCCTCAGTCATTTCTTCCTCTTGTTTTATTTCACTGTAACAGGATCTATTCACTAGACTCTGGAACTTACCGTTTCTGCTAGAGTAACTGGTTAGCATGGCCCAGCATCTGCCGGTCTCTGCTCCCTGGCATGGGGCTTCATGCACACGGTGATGATGGGCATTTTTGACACAGTTGCTGGGCATCTGAACTCAGGCTTTTAAGCTTGTGCAGCAAGCGCTTTACCCACTGAGCCATTGCCCCAGCCCCTGCAGTCCATACTCTTAATCACTTTAATTCTCTAAATAAAATAATTTAATTAATTGCAAGTGTTCTGTCTGCATGCATGCCTGTATCACTTGTAAGCCTGGTGCTCACAAAGGTCAGAAGAGGATATTGAACCCCTGGGAACTATGAGGGTTGTAAGCTGCCATGTGGATGCTGGGAACCAAACCCGGGTCTTCTGCCAGAGCAGGTGTTAACTGCAGAGGCATCTCTCCAGCCCTAATGTTTTGTTTGTTTTTAGTTAGTGTCTCTGGGCATACTGTGTGTTTAGGGCAGGGGCAGTGTAGGAGTAACCAGAGGGACATTATGGGGTCAGCTGTAACCTCCTTCCACCTTTATGTGTGGTTTAGGGACTGAACTCAGGTCGCCAGGCTTGTGTGGCAAGGCAAGCACCTTTGCCGATTGTGCCATCTAACCAACCTCCTAGTCATTCAAATTCTGGTGGTAGCCAGAGCAGAGAACCATTTTCTGGATCATGAATAAATTCCAATCGGTTTCTAGGGGTATATTCCACACAGCGCCTAAAATGTTCAAGTTTGTTCTTGGTCAAGGTTATCGATACGATAAAACCCACTGTAAAGAAACAGGACTAGCTTTGGTAACACAGAAATCATTAGATGGATCTGCTGCCCGAGAGCACCAGCCAGGCTCACCACTCATCTGCGCATGTGCAAGCACAGATCCTCCGGTCCTGTTGGATTATCTGCCTGTGCCTCAAGAAAACAAGAGCTTTGGGGCTGATATCGCGGGGCACGCAAGGCCTTGGAACCCGCTGCACGTAATGAATGTGGTTTTGTTTTCTCGGAACTGCTGCATACCGGGAAAAGTCACGTCCCTGCTCTGCTTTCTCCTTAGTGGCTAAACACGCAAAACTTTCACAGCGCTGAAGGTCGCCCACCCTCCTCCGAGCCTCGTCATTCACATCTAAACAGCACCGTACTGCCAACCTGGCCTGTCGGCTTGTCCTTTTTTCTTTTGAAATCCACGTGCAGCCTTCATAATAGCAATGTTTCCAGCCCCGGGGTGATTGGCAGAGTTAAAAAAAAGCCTCCCAGAATCAAAGCCTTCTGCCTAGGTTCCTCTCTGGGCCTGACACCCCCAGCAAGCTGAGCAGGGCCTGATGTCTTATCTTCCAGGCCCCAAACAGCCATGAAGGGAGACACCAGTTCTTGCTGTCTTCCCGGTGACAGTTGTCAGGGGGATCATGCAGAGTATGATAGCAGAAACATGCCATGAATTATAAGATCTGCCCGAGTGTGACCTGCAATAATAAACAGAATGCCGGCTCAGAACCTTGACACAGAAACCATCTCAGGAAGAGGCTCCCAGCGAGCAAGTGTTTCTAGGAGTTGGGAAAAGGAGGAGGGTTTTGGTGTCTGCTCCCGGGAAACACAGTTTTCAAAGTCGTTGGAGTGTTCTGTTTACTGACTGTGATAATATTAGAAGCCGTGTGATAGGCCGGGTGCCCAGGAAGCCGAGGGAGGCCCAGGAGCCCAGCCCTGGCTGACTCCCAGAGGCGTGGCCTTGGCATCCAAGCCACGATAGCAGAGCTCAGGCGGGCATTTGTGCCGCTTCCATGCGTCCAGAGACAAACAGGTACTCCGCCATTGGTGAGGCCTGCATTTGGGACCTGGGTCAGATAGGTCCATGTGAGGACTGAAAGGGGCTTGCGGGATGTTGTTCTCCCGGCACAATGCACAAGAGCCCTTGCCATCTTCATTAGAGTAGCTGTGACTGCTTGTGAGAGTCCCTCAAAGGCGTGTGTGTAGGGGTGGGTGGCTAGCGATGTTCCCCGCTAGGAGGAGGCCGGACCCGGAAGAATTCCAGTCACTCTTCGCTATACCTCCCTGCCAGCTGTGTGCCATTCTTGGGAGTCGAGAGTAAATGCAGTGTGGAAGGAAGGTTAGTTGGAGGGGTGGGGAGACTCCACGTAGGCAGATACGGGGAAGTTGTCGTCCATGCTGGGGTGATACTTTACAATGCTGTGGTTGCTTGGGGTCAGTCCTATAATGAACCCCTCAGCCGTGCTTGTTAAGTAAGCCCAGGAACTCATTGGTTCCCCAGAGCATCCTTTGGGGGAATCGTGATTTGGCCCTCACTGGTGCCCTCTGGGGTGAATAGACATTTGGGCACATCTCCCCCGGAAGCACTCACTCAACAATGACCAAAATACATTATGTGTAAAACTGTCAAAGAATTAAAACAATTTAAAGGGGGAAACTTTTTTTTATGGCAGTTTGTCTGTCATAAAAACAGAATCTGGTTGTGTCTGTCTGCGTTTGTGGTATACTCACGTGTTCACAAGCACACGCATGTGGAGGCCAAAGGTCAACACTGCATGTCTTCCTCAATCACTTTCCATCTTACTTTTTGCGGCAGGGTCTCAATCATTGAGTCTGGAGCTCATGAATTGGCTTGTCTGCTGAGCAGCAAGCTCTAGGGACCCTTCTGTCTGTGCGTCCCCAGCGCCAGAATCAGATTCACATCGCTGTGTCCAGCATTTTACGTGGATGCTGAGCATTGAACTCAGGTCCTCATGCTGATGTGGCTAAGCTATAAATTTTCCCACCGAGCCATCTCTCCCACCTCCTCTTGATCACAACCCTTGAGGTTAAGGGGCCCTTCTTAAATAGTGGAGACCAAGTTTCACTGTAATAGCCTAATTCCAGGAAACCTGAGAATCTTGTTGCTGCTGATTGGCACCTGACCCAGACAGATAACCTGCTTTCCAAGTGATTGCTGCAAGCCCTCACAACTGCAAATGCCCAAGACCGTTGATTCTAAATTTCCTCTTTGATGGTAGAGTGGGTACACAGAGAAAAACAGCAAGTACCATTCAATACACTTCCCGATTTGGTGAAAAGCCACTGTCAGCAAGCAGAATCAAGCCCTGTAGAAAGCAGTGGAGAGGGCTGGAGAGATGCCTCAGAGGTTAAGAACACCTCTGTTCTTCCAGAGGTCCTGAGTTCATTTCCCATGATGGCTCATAACCATCTGTGATGAGGTTTGGTGCCCTCTTCTGGCATAGAGGAGTACATGCAGGAGGAACATTGTATACATAATAAATAAATCTTTGCTTACTTCACAAGCTCTCCAGATAGCCTAGAACCCAGACTCACACACAGGGGCCACTCACAACTAGAAAACCGGTGGTGAATTTCCCCCAACTCTTTCCAAAGCTCCAGAAAAGGCGACTGGCACCTGTGGACAGGAATCAACTCCCCCCAACACTTCCCTCACTGCCCAAAGCAGGAAGCCTGGGCCCTGACCTGGCCTCTCTATGGCTTGGACATTTTCCATCACTGTCCTCTCCTTCCTCCTTTTCACTCTTCCTCGTGGAGGTCCCTCTGCAACCACACAGATCCAAGGCTCTTCTCTCTGGCCTTTCTCCAGGCCCACACCTACCTGTTACTGGTTCTACAGTAAGAGTAGTCTTTATTGTAGAGGCAATCATGGACACAATCTCGTCTAAGTCGTAGCCTGATGGTGTAGACATTCCTCAGGTGCCGGAGAACCGAAGTCCTAAAGTAATCCATGGTCTCTCTTGTGATGGCTTGTCCTCCTCCCATGCTCCCCCAATCAGCAAGGGGCCCGTATGGCTAAGCAGAACCTCCTACAGCCGGCCAATCAATCACCCAGCAGTGGCCTTCCATGCTCCAGGGTTTTATCTTCTCCCATGGGCACCGCCACACCACCTGAGACCAGAATGAACCTTACTACAGTCACCTGACTTGACTGCTCTGTGGGTTCAGTTGCCTCCAGTCAAAGCTCAGAGTTCCTACTGTGCGCTCACCTAACTGGGCAGCCAGAGGCTTCCTGGGATCATTCCTTCTGTGTAAAGCTCCTCTCTCTCTCTCTCTCTCTCTCTCTCTCTCTCTCTCTCTCTCTCTCTCATGCTTGAGTCTTTTTAAAAACAATTTAAAGCAAATTTAATTAAAGACAACATTTCTAGGCAATATAAAGCNGGAGTGAATGCCTACACACACACACACACACACACACACACACACACACACGGCAACCAGTACATTTTACATCTCTTAAGAAAAGTGCATGCCTTCCACCAGAGTACTCTGAGGTCTATACCCCCACCCTGGTTGTTTCCCCTTTCTGGAATTTTCCTCCCTCTCACATGGAGGCCCTTTTGAGTTGCAGCCTCAGTGCCACCCTCTGGGCTTTCTCTGGCCCTTAAGAACCACTCCTGCCAGTTCTTAGTGACATTCTTGCATGTCTCATTACAAGGCCGTGCGGTGTTTGGGGCTTGAGAGTGTGGGTTTCCTAATACCCTATCTAGCGTAGGCTCTAGGGGAGAAGCGCAGGTCTGGGCCATTCCACTGATTCCCAGACTCCTCTGGTGATGCTCCAGCTTCTGAAAGGGTGACGGACTATGCCCCCTGCTGGCCTCGGAGGGTAAGACAGACTCACTAAAATGCCCAGCTACTCGCCCCCCCCCCCCAAGCTTAAAACAAAGAGATTCTGAAGTCTTTCCCTGCTCCAGGCAACAATTTCTTCAGGAGAACCTTATAAGAGCCATGAGTAATACTGCACACCTTTAATACCAGTACTGAGGCAGGAGGATCACAATGAGTTATAGGTCAGTTCCAAGGCAGGGTGTGACGGAGCACTGGATGGCAGCAGGGTCTTACTGGCTTCCCTAGATGGCCTAGCACACACATGAATTATCACAGGGCTGCGGCTATGATAATGTGAAGACAGATGCATGGGTGGATGGGAGTGTCAGGGTGGAACTAACTCAAAAAACAAAGGCTTTGTGGAAAAGGTTATAGAAGACCAGGTCTCAGTTCATCTAGAAAAGACCCCCACAAATGTTAACTTCACCTCAAGACAACAAAATTACCCAATTTTGCCAGTGAGGCCTATGCAAAAAAGCTTCCTATTTTACATAAAAAACAGATTAATAATTTTTCACTAAAACCCTCTGGGATTTTGGTATCTTTTTTTTTTAATGTACATTGTGGTTTTGCCTGCATTTATGTTTGTGTGAGGATGCCAGATCCCCTAGAACTGGAGTTAGAGAGTTGTGAACTGCCATGTGGGTGCTGAGAAATGAACCCAGGTTATTTGGAAGAGCAGTCAGTGGTCTTAACTGCTGAGCCATCTCTCTAACCCAGAATTTGGTATTTTACTGGGCCATACTTCAAAAACAATTTAAAACCCCTTTCCCAATTTTCTTCTGAAAAGAAGAATGAAAAGTTATCTTTCCCCATTTCTAACAGTGACCATCCTGGCCCGAACCCTGGGGTGACTTCTCTCTCTTGGCTAGGGGGATCTTGTGTGCAGTGGACTCTCATGTTAGTAATGTTTTGAAGGCATGAAATTATCAAGCCTCAAAGGTTTGGGAAGTGCAGGATGAGATTCTGACTCAGCAGGAGCCCAAGGCGCCTTAGTATTCTTGGCGGCCAGCCATGATTATCAGAGGAGCTGTGGGCCTCGTGACACTGACTGGCTCCTTGCTTATTATGTTGAGGTCTAGGTAGCCCCTCACAAGCCCCTGGGAGGTAGCATGCATGACAGAAACTACCTTCTGTCAAAAACCGAACCAAACAGCTCTGCACAGTAAACAGGCAGCAGAGGAAAAGAAGACAATTGGGGGGGGGGAGTAGGTTCATTCCTACCACATGGAGGACCTGGTGATTCAACTCTGGTCACCAAGCTTTGTTGAAGGCCTTTTACCCATTGATCCATCTTGCCAGCCCACTATTTAATTCTTAACTTTACAGGAAACCTTTCCTGTGCTTTCTTTTAGACTTGGTGTATAGTAAATTTCTCAATAAAACAAAGTCCAGCAGTGCAACTTTAAAGACATACTGGCTGGGTGTAGTTTACACCTGTAACTCCTGCACTTATGAGGCTGGACAGGAAGACTGTGAGCTCAAGGTCAGTGTGAAACCCTGTCTCAAAAAATAAAGTCCATAAAGTAAAGGACTAGCCGAGGCGTTCCGTCCTTGGTATAAGAAGCAGCATGAGACAAAGGGGACAGGGGCATCCTTTTAGAGGTGAAAAGCCATGGTTTGGATTTTTCATTAGTGTGATGGCATATACCTATAACCATCCTGGCACTTGAAGGCAGAAACAGGAAAGTTACTGCAAATTCAAACCCAACCCAGGCTACAGAGACTGCCTAAAAAACTGAAACCAAACCTATTTCATTAGTCTGGATCAAAATGATAATTGCAAAGTTATAAACTGTAAATAGAGCAACCCTAAATATGTATGCATGTATCTATACGCTATGCATACATACATGCAGTATGCATGAGTTCCCAGGTCCGCAGAGATCACTTAGTATTCTGCAGGGCTTTCTGGGACTGCTATAATTCAGCAGGAATATAAAAGTAACAAAATCTTATTGCCTGCACCCCCCTTTCCAAAGGGCCAGCTTCAGCTTGAATCCTTTGGCCTCAGTCCTGAGTGCTGGGATGACAGGCACACACTGCCACGCCTTGCATCCTAGGCCGAGTAAGGTTCCAACAGACTTGTGTACACAAAAATCACAATATATACATACATGGCAACTATTTGGGAGCAGAGGAACACAGCAGATCCCCTTACAACTGTACAACACGCAAAGCTTGAAATATACACAACCTATAGTGGTCATCACAGCAACAGCCTCCAAAGTGTGGGAAAACTAAAGTGTGCTTAGGACTAGAACCCAGGACCATACCCGCACACTCCAGATCCCAGGACAGCACTCGGGTTCTTCATAATGCACAGCTCCATGGCCTATCCGAGACAGACCCGACACCACTGTAGCACACCATCTGTCTCTATGCTGTAACCTGGGTGCAGACAAGGCAAGGAAAACCTGTGTGCTATGATGTAGGGAATAGGCCAACTCCAAGGTCAGACAAGTATTTATTAAAGCAGCTGCTGGGGGGCATGGTAAATACACATAACCCCGGCACTTCTAAGGCAGGAGGATCTCAGATTTCAGGCCAGACTAGGTTCTGATGGCTAGGCTGTCTCAAGACCTGTAACAAAAACTAAGCCAAACTAAAGACCACCTACCTTGCTGGAGATAAAGAAAGTCAAACCCAAAGGGCGTTTCTAGCTTTACTTTGGGGATGAAGAAAAATGTCCTGGGAGTGCTGGCTCTGCCTGGGTTTCTACACACTGTTTTAGCCTTTGTCAGGACATCAGGTTAATGGAAGATTTGGGGAGACAGTGTGTCTCACAGGGATAGGTCAGGTTTCAGCTCAATTTGTGGGGTTCTGGGTTCCAAGAGCGATCTTTAGTGCAGAAATGCTTGGTGGCTTCACCCCTGTAACCCAAGCAGCCACTTTTCTCTTAGGGCAACAAGGTCAGACACACCTCCCCCAACCCCTTCTAAGTTTTTGTTTAATGTGTTTGAGTGTTTTGCCTGCATGTATGTCTGTGTACCACATCCTCACAGTACCAAGACACCAGAAGAGGGTGCTGGATTCCCTGGAGCACAGTTACAGTTGTGGGGCACAATGTGGGTTCTGTTCTAATCGCAGGGACATCTCTCCAGCCCAGCTTCCCCTCCTGTAAGAGATGGCTACTGTGAAGGACACAAGGTGGTGGCACTAGGTGTGAAAGAAAGGACACAGTGCCCGCAGCCCACTCAGCTCTGGAATCTCCAAGTGGCTGATTTGGGGCTGAGATACAGGGAGACCGATCAGTTTTCACTGGCTTCATGGTGCTTTGGGAAGGTGGGTGGAAAGGAGGATTTTACCAAATATAGCAAAGCCTTATCCGTATGCAGGGAGGAGACTGTCAGGATGTCTGAGTCGACGTGTTCCCAGGGTGTACTTTGGGGTCTAATTATGTTTTTTTTTTTTTTTTTTTTATCCAAATCCTAGGACTCTTCAAAGTAAACATCCATCCCCCTTCCCCACTAAGGGTCCAGACCCAAGCAGTGCACTTTTGCCGAGTAGTGGTGGTGCACATCTTTAATCCTAGCACTCGGGAGGCCGAGGCAGGTGGATCTCTATGAGTTTAAGGGCCAGCCTGGTCTACAGAGCAAGTTCCAGGACAGGCTCCAAAATTACACAGAGAAACCCTGTCTTGAAAAAACAAAATAAAACAAAAAAAAAGAAGAAGTGTATTTTTTCCACTTTCAATTTACCTAAAACAACAGCAAACCAAAGGGTTAACTCTCTCTCTGTTTTTAAAGACAGTCTTATTCTGTAGCCTTGGCTGGACTGGAACTCACTGTGTAGACTGAGCTGGCCTTGATTCTGAGATTTCTGTGCCTTTGCCTCTCAAGCGGTGGGATTAAGAGAACGCGCCACTACACCCAGCTGAGCTGCATTTCTGAAAATGGGCTCAGCACTCGGCCCACTTGCTTACTTTGTCACGTGACAGCTGTATTAGCTATCTGACAGCTTAAACCATTTCCTAAGGCTACTGTATACTAGGTCTGTGTGAGGGTTCCATCTTTCCTGTCAACCTGACTGCATTTACAATCACCAGGAAAACACACTTCTGGGGCTGTCTACGACAGAGTAGGTAACACACAGGGCTTCCCACGAGCAAATCTGCCAGTCTTTATTTATTTTATCTTTTAAAGTACAACTACTTACGGCAATGCAAGCATGAGTAAAAGCTTGCCAATTCTGGAGGCAATTTAACAGACTCTCTGCTGCTGAGGGCACAGACTGACTTTCAGAGCAGCTGTGCCTTCCAGCATTTCTTGTCTATGTCCTTGTGTGCTGCCTGGGATCACAGCGTCTGCAAAATAAAGAGATTTTAATTTTGGGTTTGCCATTAGAAAAAGAGCAAGTATCCACAACAATGACTGATAAGGAAGACATAGGCACTGTACCCATCTGTCTTCATAGTTTATATGGCTCATGTTTCCTGCTGAGCCATGATTTAGTGGACTTCATGGCTCACTTGTGTGGACTTCCTGTTTTTACATTTTACTCCCCAGACGCAACCAGGTCACCTCCAGCAACATTCTTAGTGGCTGGAGGTTTTGTAGCAGTACTTAAGTGTCTAACAGAAACCACTTAGTCTGTCAAAGTATATCCCGTCTGCAAAGCTTCTCTTACTGTTGTTGGATCGACAATGGCACCGCACAGCCATTGTCACCGTGGCAACAGTACTCAGGACCTATCAGAGGAGAATTGCACATGAAACCGCTGGTTCTCAAGCAGGCATGCCTCGGGGTCCTCCGGAGTATGCTTTTTCTGCAAGTCTGGTGTGCTCTAGAGTACCACCAACCCAGGGCAGGTCCAAGACTACAGATCAGGGAGCATGCCACCGAGTGCTGCTGGCCAGGATCCGGACCCATGTGCTACCAACTAAGAGCACCATGTCCTGAGCTCTCCTAGGGAACAAGTACATGTCAAGCAATATATACGGAGGAGAGCAGAGAAAGCAATGGGCCTTCCCAGGCTTCTGCGGTAACATTAGCGGAAGTGCGGCTACGTTTGTGAGAGAACTCCATCCAGTGGCCGGCATCACCTGCTCGGGAAATCACCGGCAGAACATTATTTTGTGGGCGTGTGCTGGGGATGGAACTCACGATGCCGCTTACACTAGGAAAGCGATCTACTACTGAGGTATATCCTCACACTTCCTGGTCTGTTTTGAAGATCTTGCTATATGGCCCGGGCTGGTTTGGAACCCTTGAGTTCAACAGATCCTCCTATCTCAGCCTCCAGGGCGGCGGCGGCGGCACTTTGCAGGCAAAGGCCACAGGAGCAACACACCAATTTTCTAGTTCGGGCCAATAAACCTTCCAAACCCTGGTAGAAGGGGGTATGCGGACAGAAGGGTCGCGCAGGCCCCGAAGCTGCCGGTCGCCCCTCCCCCACCCCAGCACTTCACATTCTAAAAACACGGGGAGGTGGCTCAGCAGGTAACGGCACTTACCCGGCAAGCCCGAGTTCTCGTCCCTGGACCCCTCGTAAAAGGCAGAAGTAGGGACCTGACTCGCACACGCTGTGGCAGGTGCATGCACGTACATCATACGTACACACAGTAATTATATTTTCATGCTAAAAATAAAATCATTCTAGATAAGGATTCCAACGCGAAGCAGGGCACGGCTTGGCCGTCCACGTGCACGGCGGGTCCGGACATGAAGCCGAGTTCGAGACCGGAGTCTCGAGCAGGGCCGGACACGCCAGGTTCGAGGCTCACCTCTGCTGGTGAGAAGCGGAGGCCCGCCACTGCTCTGCTCCTTGCCATTGCAGGACTATAGGCCGCGCGTTACCTTAACAATCGGCCGCCGCCAACGGAACCGGAACCTGCGTCTGGAAGTAACTCCTTCCCGGCGTGCCGCGGGCGTCAGAAGCCACGCCCAGCGCCGGTCCGGCCGTCCTGGGATATCCCGGCAGGCCTCAACCGCCCTCGTGAGGAAAGTCGACTTCCTGCGCTCGTTGCCCTTCAGGCCGCCTGTGTGACCCTGATGGACGTCCAATTTGTCCAATCAACACGCAAAGCGGCCGTCCTCGCTCACTAGCTAGCCTGTAGGACGCGGCTTCCAGGGAGGGACCACCGTCACGATGTAGGCGATATGATTGGTGGAATCGAGCCAGCATTGTCCAATCACGAGGCTCATCCCGGAGCCTGTCCAATGAGCGCCTTCGGGGGGCCGGTCGGGCCCCTGGATCACCGTCAGCCCCGGGTTGGCCGCAGAGGCGGTGGGTAGCGAGCGGGCATGAGCGCGTCCGTGAGCTGGGCGGCGACGGCTCTGCTGCGCTGGGGACGCGGCACGGTCGGCGGCGGCCGCCTGCCAGGGGTCGGCGTGCGGGCGGCGAGCTCGGGCGGCCAGGCGGAGCAGCTGGACGCGCTGGTGAAGAAGGACAAGGTGGTGGTGTTCCTCAATGGGACGCCCGAGCAGCCCCAGTGCGGCTTCAGCAACGCCGTGGTGCAGATCCTGCGACTGCACGGCGTCCGCGACTACGCGGCCTACAACGTGCTGGACGACCCGGAGCTGCGGCAAGGTCAGGCCCGTGGGATCCGGCAGCGTGGGTTGAGCAGATCTCTAGTGGAGCGGGGCTTCGCCTCGCCCTCGCCTCGGGGCGAGCTGTCTCGGGCTGCGTCGGAGGAGGGTGATCAGTAGCATGACCCTCCCAGCGGGTCAGCTGGGCAGTAGCTTGCCGAGCGGGGCTCGCAGCGAGTACCCGCGACTTGGCGCACTGGGGATACTTTGAGGGTCTTGGAAACCAGCGGCCTACTTGATAGGTGAGGCACTGGTACTGTGGGGAGTGGGGGGGGGGAGGGTTCAGGCTTGCCCGTGTGTGCCTGAGGTCAAAGGCTGGCCTCTCATATTTAAGGCCCCGAGTGTCCGGGACTGTCTTCTTGCTGCACAGAGGGTTGCGCCATAGTCCAGCTGGACTCACGTTGGGATCCGATGGGGGGGGGGGGCACGAACTTTGGTTTTTAGATACCGTAGCATTGTGTGAGGACTGGGGCTTGGGAAAGGCTCAGCGGGAAGAGGAAGCCACAGTGACTTCAGACCCCAACCTGATTAACAACCGCCTTTGTACAGAACAGCCAGACCTGTGACTTTTCACTCACTGACCCTGAGGCCAAGAAACTGGGTCCTCATGCGTACTGGAATCGGGGAGGCCTGCGCCTTAGTTCCAGGGCCGGAGTAAGAACTCCCCCAAACCCCACCTCCGCCCCATCTTCCTGACCTAGTGCTCTGTTTGGTCACTGCTGAAATGAGACATTTCTGTGTTAGCACGGAATGTTCAAGGTTTGAAATTCCTGCCTATAGTCATTCTTCATGTGTCCATCCTGCTTGACGGGGCAATCTGGGCTGTGGAGAGCAGATTTGGCTTGGAATCTTCTGTGGTCGTCAGCTTTTCCTTCTCGGGAAAGTGAAGATTATGGCACCAAAACTGGCAGAGTCCACAGGGAAACGAGAAAAAATAAGAATTATAGCTCGGTGTCAGTAATTCAGCGCCTGTAACCCCAGCACTCTGGAGCCTGAGGCAGGAGGATCACCAGTTCAAGGCTAGAACTGCATTGCATCATGGGAACTTCCCCATCCCTTTATACACTGTACTCATCCTATCTGGCACAGAAGACACTCACTAGTGGCAGTTACTTTGTTTTCAAACTTGATGGTTTCCAAAGTACTTTTCTCTATGTTGTCTAAAGTAGCTGGCCCTACATTTGCTCTCCGTGATGGTCTCCGTGATGGTATTGATGGACCGCACTCTAGGATAAAGCCGAAGGAGGAAGACAAGTTAACGCTACCAGGAATAATGGCAAGCCACGCATTCTGCTCAGAACCCCGTGTTTTCCTTAGCTGACACTAGCTGTTTGTGAAGCCTTGGTTATCTGGCCCAGGGCAAGCTGTAGTTTTGAGTCAGAGGTGGCTCCCTGCTGGGGAAGATAAGCTCCCACTGTGCAGTCTGAACTGGGACCTACCCACAGTTGCCCTGCAAGTATGACTCCTAGCAGACAGTTGCATTGTGGGTATCTTGCTTAATATGAAGTCCGGGGTCTTTGGTTTAGAATTTATGTTCCTCTCTGTAGTATAACTGCAGGCAAGCTGTAACAGAATACAGCTAATAGGAGCACTAAAAGCAAGGTTTGCTATCCTCCATCTCACATGTCTGGCCTCTGATCTGTCTCCTTAGGTGATCAAACGAGAGAAGAATTTAACCCTTCCTGTTTCTTATTATTCTTATCGAGACAGGCGAGCCAAGCTGGCCTAGAACTCATTGTATAGATGAGGCTGCCCCAGAACACGGATTGATCCTGCTGCCGTTCAAGTGCTGGAATTTCGGGTGTGAGCTGCCATGCCCAGCCACAACTCTTACGTTTCTTAACTGTTGATTTTATTGGCTTGTTAATTTGGTTAATAAGTATGTCATCAAAATAATTAAACGTGTTAAACATGTGGCTAAGAGAAGGGCTGTCTTTGGACTGTGAGAGCAATGTGAGTGTGCTCCCCCAGTGGGGCCTTTCTTAGCCAGGTTAGGCCTTTCAAGCTGTTGTCTACACCCCGAGTTTGCCAAGGGGCAGGGAGGCAGGAGGCTCATCCTTGCTTTGCCAGGCAAGGAGGGGCCCACCTACCTGTCCTACTGCAGCATGGGGCCTACGCAGCATCAGCCCTTCCTTTTTCCTTGTGCCAGAATTTTACAAAGGACCCTGGTCCTCGCTTTTATTACCTGGGGTACACAGGCCACAGCCACAGGGTTTTTGAGGAACCCAGGGCACAATGCGGCGTGGTTCTTGTTGCTGCTGGCCTGGCGGGATTCTGCCTGTCTACACAGCATTTCACCCTTAGGCAATAGCCTGTGGCGCTGGAAATGCCATCTGAGCCGAGGCTTTCTGTACTGTTGCTACAGTCCCACGCAGACTCCTCTAAGTAGTTGGCAGTCCTGTGTCCATCCCCATGTGTTCTTTTTTTTTTTTTAATATTTTTATGGTTTATTTAACTTTATTTTATGTGCATTGGTGTGAAGGTTTCAAATCCTCTGCAACTGGATCTTCAGACAGTTGTGAGCTGCCATGTGGGTGCTGGGAATTGAACCCGGGTCCTCTGGAAGAACAGTTGGTGCTCTTAACCACTGAGCCATATCTCCAGCCCCCCCCCCCATGTGTTCTTTACTGCCTGCCAGAGTAGGAAGTGAATATCGATGAAAGCGTAACTCTTACCCTGTTTTTGTTTGTCCTTATAACTTGTAAACTTTTTGACGCATAAGCCTATGTGACATCGCCATACGTGTGTACATTACATAACACCGTCAGAGTAGCTGGCCTAGCTGTCACTTTGGACATGCGATGTCTTGGTGCTGGGACATTTGGAGTCCTCTCTGCTGGCTGTTGTCTCCCATAGTTTTCTCACTGTCTGTCCTCACCCTTCTCCCAGGCCTCTTCCCCGCAGCCTGTAAATATGTGTGAAGCGGTGTCTGAGCATTCAAGGCAGTAGTCGGGCACTCACTGCTCTGGCGAACATTGGAGGAAGCCATGTGCTGTGGGTGTCTGGCACCAGCACTTTGGAATTGTAACAGTGTATTGGAGGTGAGCAGAGCTGTTTCCCTCCTCCCAGAGAGGTAGTCTGGAGTGGAGACAGACTTCCTCTGTGAAGGGCCAGGAGGTTGGTGGGCTCCTGGGCCCGCATTTTGTTTGTTGCTCTGTTGTTGGAGGCTGAAAGTAGACTTGGATGCTGTATACTCAGTGAGCAAGTTGAATTCAATAAAACTATATTTGCAAATCCAGGAAGAGGTTTAGCCTACCACCGGCCTGCCACCCCTGGTCCAGAGGAGCCATGTAGAACAGGTTACATGTGTAACGTGTTCATGACAACATGACTTGTGGTGGGGACGAACCCACGAATGCAATCCTGGCCTGTTAGCAGACTGGATGAGCGGATGGGAGTTCAGTGCTGGAGGGTAAAACTATACTGTGCTTAAAATAAACCAGGTCCTGGTGCACTTGACATGGCTAAATATCAGAAACACGTTTGGTCAATACTGTCTCTACATTGATGTCAGAGGTCCCATGTACTCTACATGCGTGTGCAGTGATCAAGAGACTGTGGGGAGGGTCCATGGGTTCAGAGACTGGCTTTAGACTTCAGAAACCTAGATGTTGCCCTGGATCCTCCACCACATGCTAACTCTGTGACTTTGGGTGAGTTACTTAGCCTCCCTGAAGCCAAACAAGGATACTTTTATCATACATCTGTAGTAATCAAATAGGATTATTTATGGAAGATACTAAATGCTACTTTCTTGTTACTGTGTGGACTACCCAGCTTGTATCATTCCTGTGTTCTTTGCCCCATGCTTTCTGTTTACCGTGCTGCCCAGAAAAGCACTTCTGTGACAAACAGAGCGGAACATCCTTGTGGTTCTGCTTATGGATGTGGTACACACACACACATCCATAATCCATAGCCTCAGTGCTCGGAAGCAAGTCATTTCACCATACATGCTGTTTGGTCTTCTCAGGCAATCTGCAAGGCAGTGGAGCTCCGCTCTGCAGCTGAGGAAGTGGACTGGGGGGGGGGGGCTGTCTGTACCTAGAGGCCAGCGAGCCACTCTGCCCACCCATGTGCCTGAGCCTTGTCCACTCTGCTCCCAGCATTTGCTCTCCTCTCCTGGGGCTCTGCTGTTTCCATGAAGGAAATGTAACCCTAGGACGTGACTGACACACCTAGCCCGAGATCCCAGAGCCTGGTCTGTGGCCACACCTGGAGTTCTGCTGTGAACCACAGTGCCATTGCTGAAGTACTTCAGTGTGGAAAGCACCATTGAAAATGCACAGGGCAGGGGGGTTTTACATATCTTTTCTCAACTGTATTTTTTCTGGATTGATAAGCTGTAATGTTGGGGGGCCACATGTGTGTGGGTTCAGTCCCGAAGGGTGTGGACACCAGAAGTCTATGTCTGGTGTCTGGGGCAGGGTCTCTTACTGAACCTGGAGCCAGCCTGGCTGGCCAACACAACCAGGTGGCCCTCTTAGCTAGCTCTACCCCTAGAGCTGGGAGATTACAGATGTGCTGTG